TAGCTTCGCTAGTGGATGAAATGAAGTATCATTTTGCAGGGAATACCTCCGAGTAGCCTATGTTTTGCCGGAATGTTGATTCATTTCCGTCCTGGCAAATTTCAGGCGCTCGATATATCTTCTTTTAGCAAAGGTTATGCCGAAATTTCGGCATGACTTGTGGCGTAAAGTATGATATTTAAACCGGATACTTGACAAAAATATATGTAAATGTATCCTGACAAGCACTAGGTTAACTTACATATATTGTAATACAAATTAGCGACACAAATAAAAGTATGCATTCCGCAAACCTTGCGAATGCTTCAAGCTTTCGGTTGTTTGAAACTTTGACGTACTTGCAATTGTAACTATGCAACGTTGACGCGCCTTCCACAGGAAATGTCTGGCGACGATGGGATCCCTGAGTGATTACTGCTCTGACGACGGGGGTATGTGCGATAGACCTCACCCAGAAAACGGTAGGCGCTTCATGTTGAGGATCTAAGACTGACAGTAGAATGGGGGTAGGTATGAGGAGGCAAGATCCTAGCTATGGCGAAGTTGTATACACGGGTTTTACAAGTTCAGGCCCTTCGCAGAGGAAGTAACAACCCTACGTCTCGGTGCCCGGAGGCGGTCGACTGGATTATATGTGTGTGTGTGTTACAGGGGGTGCGAACCCTTGTGCCAGAGGAGGGGGGTGACTTATATAGAGTACGCCAGGACCCCGACCATCCTCCGTTATCAAGAGTTCAATGTACATAAAAAGGAGGCGTTACTAGTAATGCCAGCCTTAAATGCCTTAATGGTCTTAAAGACTACAAAGTGAACGCTCGTCTGTTGCTGTTCTAGATGACTCCTGGTCTCCAATAAGTCGAGTGGATTCTTGTATGGTCGAGTGACTTCAGGAAGGAGGGGTCTCCAAGTAGCTGGTCGTTTGAGTGGATTGCACTCGACACCTTTGTTGGGCTCTCCCTGTGGTCTCTTGAGCTTCTTTGCTTCTATGACAGTGACCTTGGATAGGACGTATAGGTCAGGCCTATGACCCTACCCCAGGTCCATATCATCATCATTAGCCCCCAAATGGATTGAGATCCGAGTGAAAAGAAGGTTGAAGTTGGCCTTGCTTTTTGAACGGAGGCCAGTGTTGGAACTTCAGCTTCGTTTCAGTCGCCTTGATCGATTCAGAAATTACCGTTTGGATTTATAACGTCATCCGTCAAGTGTTGTTTTTGACGCGGAATCTTTGGTGCGATTGGTTACGGCGTATTCCGGATTTTATGGGATTCGAAATTTCGGGGAAGCGCGCAGGGCGAAGCACGCCGTGGTAAGTGGGGGTGGATAAACAGTAACATTTCGATTTTTGCGCCACCTTTTTCGCCACGTATCCCGCGCGCGACTGTTGAGGGATTTGACAGGATCGCCCAGGCCCGTGTGTCACCCACTTGGAAGTGGGCCTTTAAAAGTGACGAGGCCAAGGCGCTTGCACTGTGCGCGTCCATTCTCCTTCTTCTCCCTCAATCT